TTCAGCCGTTATTGAGATCCGATAATCTCGATTCAGCGCAACTCGTCGGTTCGCGTAAAGGAGGCACGACAGTGTCGCTGCGCTTGGGTTAGCGCCGAGACACTACCGTGTCACCAGATGACAAAGCGATTGTCCTCAGTCTCGAGAGATCGTTCGATCTTGGCGGACGTGTTTCGTCTCGCTGCGATCTGAGTGTTGCATGTTTTATTTTTGAGCATAAGTGTAGCCGTGTTTTACTGCTATTGATAAATACCGCTATCGAAAAATTCTTATACATTCATGATTCTTAATTACGAAAAGAAACTATATAAGAAACAATAATGTGATAATGTGATAATGATAGCATTTCAATATAAAATATCATATAGCATTTTATGAAATCACGAACCAGAATCCATATTCAAAACGATAAAAATAAAATAGTTTTCTTACTTCTTCTATCGGATTTTTTTACATATGGGATCTGTATATAAGAAACGATAAAGATCTTATCAAAAAATTCCTACAACATTGTATACATTTTCTATCGTATGTACACGATTCAAATTAATGAATTCACGAAACAGATTTTATATTCAAGACGATAGAATTTTTTTCTATCATTTTCTATCAACTTTTTTTTACCAGGGAAAGTTTCGATTTTCCTTAATACATGTTTGATTTGATGTAAAAATGGCTTAATCCGGATTTTAAATGTGGTGTTGTATGTTTTTTTGGTCGCTGAACATGATGCAATAATTCATTTAGCTGTACGATATACAGCCTTAAGAAATACAGCCCGATTAATGTGAAAAAATGACCAAATTTTGAGTTCAGGTAATTATTTAGAATACGGGTCCCCCCCCCTAGAATCTTAATAAAAATGTACTCATTCGACGCGTTTTCCCTCAAAGCGAAAGAATCTGGCAAAAAAACGAGACTGTCGACCTCATGAATCAAGTTATTAAGCATTAAAGTTCGAGACTTTAGAGATTAAGATATCTGTCATTCCGACTCGATACAGTGTTAGAGGAAAGTCGCCGATACTGATATACCACTTTGTGTTTTTAGATAATATTTCTTAAACAAAAGATAAAAACAAAACTTTAAGAACGTAAGTACAAACTGAAAAATGTCTTCTATCAGATAATATATGCAGTTTTTATAATACTATTTGCAATTTTGCAATAATTAATTTTTTCATAAGGTAAGTAAAAATAAGCGTTTGATAAAATGGGCTTCAAAACTGACATAGTAGGCAGTAATGCTACGTATTCATATTGTTTGTATTTTACAAGCATTATCTGTATAAAGTACCTGTAAGTAAATGTATATAAGATTTTCCAGAATCTTTTCACTTCTTTATAAAACATTTTTATTGAATTATATGCATATTTATTTTATGCTATTCTGCAAGATACAAATATGTAATGCGATAGTTTTTCAAGAGTTTTTCCATATATGCATGATTGTCTTCAGCTCCAATAGACTTATTTGACACTATAAGGCAACATTATAAAGATTAAGTTAGCTCATGGTCTGTTTTACAGAGAGGTGTGGCGGTTTACGCTGCACTCCAATTTTAAAGGAGAAGTCTCCATAAGGGCCGATTTCGGCATTCTCCAGATTTTGTTCAAACACATAAAAATCTATTTCTTGAGGTCAATTATATTCAATTAAAGTGATTTTAGTGATTTTAGTTTAAACGGAGCGATGGTGTTGCCATAGGAGTCTCCATAAGGCCGATTTTCGATCTAATTATATTATATATACATATCTAATGCCTTAGACTGGTGCCTATATAAACGGGCTGAAAATCGAGCAGAGCGTCATTTTGATCATTTTCATTCTGATCGACAGATCAGACCGATCAGACCGCTAGAATATCTCATAATGTCGCAATTTCAAAAAAGGAAATACGCACACGTGTTGATTTTTTTTAAAGCTTCCTCTTTCCTATACTCCTGGCTGACCGCGCTCGTAGGAGCTGCTCAGCTCACTCCCTTTCCTTCGGACTAACCGTGCTCGTAGGAGTTGCGTAGTCTCAGTAATTCATATACGAGGGGCACTATTTATATTTTGAGCCTAATAATAAAAAAACTGTAATTTGTCATTGAAAATGACTTTATTGTTTTTCAAAATATTCTCCTTTATGATCTATACACTTTTGCATGCGTTCGAACCACTTGTTTGCACCAATCGACACGAGCATCTTTTTGAGATTTTGTCAGATTATGTGGGATCCAACGAGAACAAACCTTTTTCACGGCTAAATGATCATGCAATATTTTATATATGCTGGTGGAATTAATGCCTAAGGTTGTCTCAATCTCACAGTATGTCACATGACGATCTTGCATTATTAGTTTTTGCACAGCATCAATGTTTTCTGACACAACAACTGATTTTGGACGACCTAAACGACTTTCGTCGGTGAGCGAACGGCGACCACGATTAAATTCGTTATACCAGCGTTTCACAGTGGCAAAGGATGGGGGTTTATCGCCAAAAGTGGAAGTAAGTTGATCGATGCACTCCTGTCTTGATAATCCACGTCGAAAGTTCTAATAAATCATTGCACGAAAATTTTCACGAGTTAATTCCATTTTTTCGCTGAGACACAATTTTCAAGTGATTGTAAACAATACAAATCGCGCTCAAATAACAAAACGTTCTGAAGAAAGTTATGGTCAAAAATGTCAAACTTTCTAGTGGAAACGTCAGGTGGCACCTGACAATACTCAGTGTTGCCAAGGCTCAAAATATAAGTAGTGCTCCTCGTATCCGAAAATATCTAATTCGTTACTGTTTAATACGTAACAAAGTGGTCGTTGAAAAGTTATAGACAATTTTTTGTTAAAAGAATCTAAACTTCGAATAAAAATTCCGAAAAAATTACGTAAGTTTAATTGGATTAAAATGAACATTTTTTGTCTGTTAGATTTTTTTTAAAAGTAGTTTTTGAGATAAAAAAGTCAACACTTAAATGACTATCTTTATGATTTTTTTCTCGCAAACTAATCAGCCAATCATTGTGAATACGAAACGAAAATATTTGGCCGATCTTAAATTATAACAAGAATTTTATTTTATTTGATCTGTACTGTTATTGATAGTGAAAACTTTATTATATAAGGCGCCGCAGAAGCGCCTTTATTATAATAAAGTTTTCACTGTCAATAACAATATAGAATAATATAATAAAATTCTTGTTATAGTTTAAGATTGGCTGAATATTTTTGTTTTTTATTCATACTGATTGAATGACTAATTTCTGAAAAAGAAAAATCATAAATGTCATTTTTCAAGTTTAGACATTTTTCTTTTTTTTTTTTTTTTGGTAAGGCAGGGGAAATACGTTACGCATACCACGGGGGTTCGGGAAACCTCTTCCGCGGCGTCGTCCCTCGCGGGCTCCCTCGCCCGCTCGGCTTCCTCCTTCGCGAGCATCACCTGCTCGCAGAAGGAGGAGACCGCGCACCACTTCCTCTCGCTCCCCAGCATCGCGCCGACAACGCCAAGGAATGAGAGATCCCCTCCGATGACGGCGACCAGGACACCGCGCTCTGCATCCCATGCGGGACACACCTCTAGGGTGTGTTGCGCGGTGTCCAGGTCGCCATCACAATGGTGACAGTGCGCGCCACACTCCCTCCCTATACGACACAGGTACTCACCGAAGCACCCGTGCCCGGTGAGCATTTGTGTCAGCCTGTAGGTCAGGCCTCCCCAGCTCCTTTCCACCCACTGTCGCAGGCGGGGCCCTATGGCCTCGACGACCCTCTTGATCGCCATCTCCGGGTTCTCGCGTAGTCGGCGCGACCACTCTTCGAGGACCCGGTTTCTGGCGACCAACCTCCAGGTGGCCATCATTCTCTTGGTGGCTGGC